CTGGTCATATGAAGTAAATCATTCGACTCCTTACAGATTTTACTTATAATTTTTAGTAATAACTTCCGCTTTTCAAATAAACCCAAAAACGCAGTTATGTTGCAATATAGTAAAAAAACACAACTGTTCGCCTTAGTGATAGGGTGGCCCGCGATGTACAGGTGCCCGATCTGTTACAGCACTCGGTTAATGCTAGCGTATGGGCCGATAAGTATCCTAACCCTCTACTCGACGCCAATAAGGCTTTTGATAGTATGTAATAAATTAATATTTTAAATTTAGTTTGTTTATAATTACTTGTTTATAATGCACTTACTGTATAATCAGAATTGACCGAGGTAGAAGTGATTGGCATGTCGATGAGCATGTTGGGCGCCGGATACGAGACCACTGCGTCCCAGTTGTGTTACATAACTCGCATACTTGCGCTCAAACCCTGGTATCAAACAAAACTGGTCGACGAGATTCATAACACACTGTATACTAAGGATACCAATGAGTTGTCTATGGATTACGAAAAACTACAGAAAATGTCATTTTTGGACGCATTTATCAAAGAAGTGATGCGAGTTAACTGTTCGGTCACCCGGTATATAGAGTCGCCACATAGTGTTTACAGTTGCAAAGTATTAAATTTTTAAAATAAATTTTTGTGTTGTAAATAGAGTCGACAGAATCGTTACAAACGACACGTATTTAGAGGGCATTTATTTGCCAAAAAACACGCCTATTATAATACCCATATGGGCGCTGCACATAGACCCTGATCACTTTCCCGAGCCAATGGAGTTTAAACCGGAACGTTTTCTACCCGACAATATTGATACTATCAATCCGTATACATACCTACCCTTTGCCACCGGCCCTCGCAATTGCATTGGTTTTCGATTTGCTTTATTAGAGCTCAAGTATACGTTAGTTAAGCTGTTGTGTAGATATGAGTTTGTGGCCTGCAATGAGACCAAGGTTAGTTTTATTTGTTTATGCAAATGTACAGTATTATGATTATAATATGATATTGTATTATGATTAACTAATATATTGTAATTTTAAATAATTATTGATTATGTTTATGCTGTAGAACTTGGAGTGCTTTAATCAACTCATTCAATTAGCCAGTCTTAAACGTATGATGGTCAAGATAAAGCATCGTGATGATTTTAATAAAACATGAATCACATCATTAGATATAATGCGCCTCAATAGAAGGAATCTTGATAGTTGTAATAATAAAAATTATCTTAATAACCTCTCTCTCTCTCTCTCTCTCTCTCAATTTTCTTATTTATTATGCTATTTTATTTGAAAACTTAATTCTTTAAGGCAATCAGTATGAAGGTCGTCAATAATCATCAATTATATATTGAATATTTTTGAGCTTAAGATACTAAAAACATATAGACATTTGAATGTAGAGAAAATAATTTTTAGTGACAGCTAAAAACAAAAAAAAATGTTTAACCAGTTTTTCAACAAATTACAATGATGATAGTATGGGTATATTTAGAAAAAAATTATTAATATTACTTGATGTAGACAAAGAGCAATCAAATTAATATTACTAAAAAACTTTTAAAACCATTTAAAACCAAGTAACATAATTTAATGTAAGTTATATTTTATAATTATGAAAATAAAAATTTATAAGTATTTAAAAACTTTAATTAGTTTAATAATCAAAACGAAATAATAGTGTGAACATGTTTTTGGTGACACTGTTTATACTATCGCCGATAGTGTTAACAATAGGCCTATTGTGGCAAAAGTGGCGGTTTTGGAAACGACAGGGAATACCGACCGACTGGTCGGCCAGAAGTGGTCAACCCTTTCATATATCAGACAACGAGTGCCACAGAAAACACGGCAAAGTTGTCGGGTATTTGATAACAATAACTTTATACATGTATTAAATATGATTTATATTAATAATTTCTATGTAATTAGTTTTTACGAAGGTTTGAGACCCTGTTTATCAATCACTGATCCAAATCTCATACGCAAAGTACTGGTCACTGATTTTCACAAGTTTGCTAACCACAGGGTAAGTCTATTTGAAAAAACAAATTACATGTGTATATATTTATGTAATTAAAAACAAATAGATCTTTTTATTACACATTTTATTTTTATTAATTTTGTTAAAATTTTATAGAATTAAAACGATATTAAATAATTAAACAAATGTAATTAATTTCCAATAAATTGATCAAGGAACTTCCGGCCGACTCCGAGCCAATAGGAAAGGGTGTATTTTTCACGCCATACCCTCAATGGAAACGTATCCGTGCGCTGCACTCCACAGCCTTCACCACCGGTCGCCTCAAAGCTATGCTACCGATAATGTCGGACACGTTTGACCGGTTGGTCACTCTATTGGACCCGAAAGCCCGGGACAGCCAAGTGGTAGACTTCCGCACAGTTTACGACTCGTTCACGTTTGACGTGATTACTAGGGCTGTGGCNTCTATTGGACCCGAAAGCCCGGGACAGCCAAGTGGTAGACTTCCGCACAGTTTACGACTCGTTCACGTTTGACGTGATTACTAGGGCTGTGGCCGGCGCCGACACAAACGCCCTGGGTCACCCCGGTTATAATCCGCTGTTGAAAGCGATACAGTTAATATTTCAAGCTGACCTAGGTCTAAAACAGGCCTTGGTATTTTTTATGCCGTTTTTGCGCCGATATTTTGTGTTACCATTTTTTGATGGCAACGCTCAGCGAATGATTAGCAATACTGTGAATCACGTGATCAGTGATAGGTATGGCGAACAGAAAAGAGTGAAAAAAGAGGAAAAAAGTATATATTAAAGTGTAATGGGATATTTAGTGCATTATTAGATTTGTTAGCGTTACCCAAGAGACACCGACACGGAGATAGACCTTTGTC